GTGCTCGTGTCCTTGCTCATGATCGTGCTCGTGTTTGCGTTCCTGTTAGTGTACGTTCGTGCTCGTGCTCGAAACATCAACTGATTTCGAATTCATAGACCGAAACAAAACCCAAACCTCTACTGCGTAATTGACCCTTTTAATTTTTTCAGCGCTCTGTGGACAGAACAGAGAACGACTTCTGGTTTAACAACTGCAGAAAAGAGCGGGTTTCCATTAGGGCAACTCTTGGCATTTCGCCAGCAACAACACTAAATGTCTACACGTGTCAGTTCTCGAGCTCTGATTCCGCAAACTTGATCGGCTATGCGACCTTGCCTTGGGAACACAGCGAGTCGGATTTACAACACGGTGTGGCAATACATCACGGAACACTGCCGGGAGGAGGGATGGTTACATTTAACCTTGGAGATAATGCTGTTCACGAGGTAATAGTTTATTGCTCATCATAACTTTTAAACAGTGGATTGCAAATGTAATAGTCTAGTTGAAATTGAACGCTGAGCTAGTTCTTAAAACGATAGATAGAAACTGATAAAACATAAATGACTGTCAGATTCTCATGTGACTATACGTAATCGACTTAATCTTCGACGTCGCCCTGTTGAGGATTGCTAAAGGAAACGTCAATGTAAGACAAGACTAAATTCGAAGGAATGTCTCTACTCACGTTCATTGTTATCTATTTTCATAGATCGGCCATTACTTTGGTCTGTTTCACGTGTGTGAGGTATGTAGATATGGTAAAAGTTCGTATGGAAAACGGGTGACTGAGCCACAAGAGAAGTGTTTTCAATGGATGGCTGTACCAACTGGTGTTTTCATCTTCGTATGATTACTCTGTAAATAGGAAATTTCCTGTTATGAAATTGTATTAGTGTCTGTCTGTCTGCCTGTCTGTCCGTTCTATACTGTGCACAGTTAAAATTTCATTATCAAACTAGACATAACGCACGTAGGTACGTCTCCTGTCACGACTAGGACTGTACGAGTAGTCCCTCTTTAGCTTAGTCTGTCGATCTCTTTCGCGTCACGCACGACGGACTAATTATAAGCGAAAGAGGGTCTACTCGATGAGCCTGCCAAAACAATTGACAGTGTCTGTAACAGGGTGGCTGCACAGAAGATGAAGACGATGAAGTTGCAGACACCCCACGCTGTGCTGATTACACGTATATCTGCACAGACCAACCAGTGGACACCTGTAAATTTCAAAGTGGACTGGACCCAATTCACAATTACATGGGCTGTAAGTAACGTGCCTCAAAAACGCAGAGATTGTTGGGATAGTAAACTTGAAACGAAACGGTTTCATGTTTTTTCAACGTTTTCAAATCATAACTGGAGCACCTTACTAACCGAGCGATTGAACGACCGACCGATCGACTGTCCGAACTACCGACGGGTGGGTGACTGGCCCGGGGGAGGTACTCCCCAAAGTTTTTGGTAGGGGTGTATGGCCTGAACTTTGAAACCCTTACCCTATTTCAATACAAAATCTGTGATTTTCCATACCCTATTTCAGACCTGAGCCAAAACTCGATACCCCATTTCAGATCTCTAAAATCAGTACACGGCTCTAATATCTGACCGCAGCTAACCAGTAATGGCTTCCATTTGCACAAACATTTGACAAGGGCTACAACTTCGCCAATGATGATGCGGAAAAAAAATTAGTTCCTTGTAGACTAAACACCCATTGACAAGCCAGAGTGAAACACATACCCTATTTCAGACCAAAATAGCTCAAAAACCATACCTTTGGGGCCGCATGCAAATACTTATATAGCCCATATAAGGGAGGAGCACCCCCAGGGGGGACAGCTAGTTAAGTGATTGCTTCCTTGCTTCAGTGCTTCTTACCTGATTCATCTATTCATTCGTTCCTTCCGGCGTCGTAGGAATGTTCATCATTCAACTTCTTTGTAGGATTATATGTATTTCATTCTTATTTACAGTCATGGAGGATGCCTGTATGTATGAATTCACACCAGGTCAGATAACTAACATGGCGCAGCACGTCAAGACCTTTAGACCTACTCTGATGAAAAACATCCACAGTGAGTAATTTTAGACTGACAGTGTCTTTCATTTCACTGAGTGTTTCGAGTAATGTATCTACAATTTTTCTTCTTTGAGGTTATTCTGCCAGTTAGGTCGCGCGATTAACTCCAAGCTTTAATATTGAGCCGTCCGAAAGCTCTCGTTCAAGTAATCTTGGGGTAACCTCCCTAAACAGAAAGCTTAGCCCATCACTGGTTAGTCCACCGTAGTCTCTCGGTTGGACGAAATCACTGTAAAAGAAGGGTATTTCCAAGAACACAAGAAAACGACTCCGACCAGGTTCGAACAGTACCAGGTCAACAAAGTCTACACGGAATCGAGAATCCCATACGTTGACCACACCCTAAGCGAATGCCTTTACATACACAACTCATTACAGGAACTACGTCACGGTTTGCGCATCTTGAAAAGTTTAGCCTAAATTTTTCAAGTTCGTCGTTTGTAATCCGTGTTAATCTTCTCCATCCCTAACCCTCCTTGTTGTTTTATGGTTTATTATTATCTCTTAAGTCTTTTTCTATCTAAGTAAATTAGTATTTTCAGGTTTCCTTCAATTAAAAAGTGATTTTGCAAGTGTCCAAATAACTCAAAATACCGTGACTGCGTTCCTTAAACCTAATCTTCATCTTCTCAATCTCAAGGACCCTGTAAAATAGACGCCGTCTTCCGCTGGTCAAACGGGTTCGTCTATTTCTTTTTGGGGTCGAATTACTACCGCTACAACGAAAGTCGTCATGTGATCGACCCAGGCTACCCTCGACCAACCAGTAGCCACTGGAAGGGTGTTCCTTCTTCAATTGACGGAGTCTTTCGATACGCCAACGGCTTCACTTACTTCTTCAAGGGAAACCAGTATTACAGGTTTAATGACACATCGCTGAGTGTCGACCCAGGCTACCCTCGGCCCATAAGTGACTACTGGGAAGGCGTTCCAAATGATATCGATGACGTCATCAGGTACAACTTTCGTTTTGTATAATACCATAGATCTTCGAAAGGAGAAGCCAGGTCGTTACTTTCTGCTTAAGAACGTTTCGGGTTCGTAACTAGACATTAAATGGTCGCAATTTATGAGAAAGTAGTCAGTACTTTTAAGACAGTCAAAATCTTGGCAAATTGTCTGGCAACATAGACTTTGCAGTATGCAATTTGTTGAAATGGAGAGCCGCGTTTGATAATAGCTACTGTAATTAGTTAAAATTAACAGAAAATGTGCTTTAACGAGTTTTATCCTTAGTGAATACCGCATACAAAATAAATTTTTGATGCGCCCAGCGTCTTTCAAGCGTTCAAATCCCTGTGTGTCCGTCATCTGATTTGAACACCTGAAACGACCATACATTCACACATACACTTTATTTAAACACGGTAGAAACATCAGTTATGTTACAAGGTTGAGACAAAAAACTGATTTACATGTTTGCCGTGTGGGAGTACGAGGAAGACATTAGGTGATTGATCTCATTTTTAAAGTTAATAAAAGATCTAATGGTTCTGACGTTAGACGGAAGGCTATTCCACACGTGCCCCACTGTAGCAGAACTGAACGTTTCAAAAAATCGGTATGGGGTTTAGGCAAAGCTAATTTGTTTTCAATATTTCCGAGTCCATAGTCCGTCCTGAAGGGTCTAAATAGACCTTTCAGGTACTCCAGAGTCTGATCATTCATAGTTTTAAACATTAATTTCAATTTTTGCTTTTTCCTTCTGATATAGAGACCGTGGAAAGGTTAGGGCTCTGGCTTCCACTGGGCTTAGAAAGTTCCTATCCTTTTAGGACCTAATAGGAAACTTAATTTTCGCATTCGCGCTAGTTTCGTTAACTCCATTCGCTTTATTATCTTGTTTTAACGGTTTCCTGTTAATTTTTATCTGCTCCCATTTCTAAAATTAGTTACTCAAATGGCTTCGCGTACTTCTTCAAAGGAACACAATACTACAGGTTCAATCCGCGTAACGAAAGTGTGGACCCCGGCTATCCGCGCTCTGTGAGCTCTTATTGGAAAGGGGTCCCAGGCGACATGGAAGGTGTTTTACCGTGGCATAATGGAGGGGTTTACGTGTTTAAGGATACCCAGAACTGGTTCTTTTTGCACAGCAGTCAATCTATTGGGGTGTCCTCCAGCTATCCCAAGTCAATCATGCAGTGGTGGAGCGATGAGCTCGAGCTAACTGGTTATACGGCTTTAAGGTATGTTTTGCTCTTGACTTTCCCAAGAAAGTGCATCAGAAGACAAGAAGTTGGTAGGCAGGCAGGCAAGCAGACAGTCAGTTAGACAGACCGCTGACAAGCAGACAGGCAGGCCGACAGACAGACAGACAGGCAGAGACAGACAGACAGGCAGGCAGGCCGACAGAGACAGACAGACAGACAGGCAGGCCGACAGACAGACAGACAGACACACAGACAGACACACAGACAGACAGGTCGGTCGGTTGGTCATAGACTGAGCAAGGTAGATAGATAAGTGGGTGGGTGGGTAGGTATGAACTGTAGGACTGAGGGAGGGTATGCAGCACACCAGACAGAGAAAAAAAGTAATATATCAAACATGAAAGGCCGTGTTTGACCACATTTTCAAACACCGAGGAACAGAGTGTAAATAAAACGCGTAGGGGAGTACTTTTGAAGTCCTTCGAGGTGTTTGTTGATGTGGTCAAACACTATCTTGAGTGTTTGACACATCTTTTTGTCAATCGAAACTAAAACTAAGGTGAAAACAGAGAAATAAAACTTTAAAATCTATCCTAATTAAGATCAGGTATCCAAACACCGTCACGGTCATGATTTCCTTTGTTTAAACTTGATGAATTATAAATGACTTTGAGACAGCCTTTAATTCATTCAAAGAAGAACAGCCTTCTCCCTTATTCCTTGCAGTTAGCAATTAGTCGTACCAAACGTGCTAGCCATTTCAACATATTCTCTCTAGGCACCTCAACGGCCAGACGTTCTTCTTCAAAGGCGACCACTATTGGCTCTTTAACGATTTCTTTCTCCAAGTCGAGGTCGGATATCCGCGCGCCTTGGCAGCCTGGGGAGGAGTCCCAGCGGATGTAGACGCAGCGTTTCTGTGGAGTGATGGATACGCGTACTTCTTTAAAGGGAAACTTTACTTCCGGTACGACAGCAGCCAGGAAAGAGTGGAGGATGGCTATCCACGTGAAATAAACTCGTTTTGGAAAGGAATACCGGATAGCGTGGATGCGGTCTTCAGGTAAAANNTGTTCGTGCTCGTGTTCGTGCTCCTGCTCCTGCTCGTGTTTGTGTTCGTGTTCTTGCTCGTGCTTGTGCTCGTGTTTGCGTTCGTGTTCGTGTACGTTCGTGCTCGTGCTCGAAACATCAACTGATTTTATAGACCGAAACAAAACCCAAACCCCATTGCGTAATTGACCCTTTTAATATTTTCAGCGCTCTGTGGACAGAACAGAGAACGACGACTGGTTTAACCACTGCAGAGATAACCGGGGTTCCATTACGGCAACTCTTGGCATTTCGCCAGCAACAACACTAAATGTATACACGTGTCAGTTCTCGAGCTCTGATCCACCCTTGATCGGCTATGCGACCTTGCCTTGGGAACACAGCGAGTCGGATTTACAACACGGTGTGGCAATACATCACGGAACACTGCCGGGAGGAGGGATGGTTACATTTAACCTTGGAGATAATGCTGTTCACGAGGTAATAGTTTATTGCTCATCATAACTTTTAAACAGTGGATTGCAAATGTAATAGTCTAGTTGAAATTGAACGCTGAGCTAGTTCTTAAAACGATAGATAGAAACTGATAAAACATAAATGACTGTCAGATTCTCATGTGACTATACGTAATCGACTTAATCTTCGACGTCGCCCTGTTGAGGATTGCTAAAGGAAACGTCAATGTAAGACAAGACTAAATTCGAAGGAATGTCTCTACTCACGTTCATTGTTATCTATTTTCATAGATCGGCCATTACTTTGGTCTGTTTCACGTGTGTGAGGTATGTAGATATGGTAAAAGTTCGTATGGAAAACGGGTGACTGAGCCACAAGAGAAGTGTTTTCAATGGATGGCTGTACCAACTGGTGTTTTCATCTTCGTATGATTACTCTGTAAATAGGAAATTTCCTGTTATGAAATTGTATTAGTGTCTGTCTGTCTGCCTGTCTGTCCGTTCTATACTGTGCACAGTTAAAATTTCATTATCAAACTAGACATAACGCACGTAGGTACGTCTCCTGTCACGACTAGGACTGTACGAGTAGTCCCTCTTTAGCTTAGTCTGTCGATCTCTTTCGCGTCACGCACGACGGACTAATTATAAGCGAAAGAGGGTCTACTCGATGAGCCTGCCAAAACAATTGACAGTGTCTGTAACAGGGTGGCTGCACAGAAGATGAAGACGATGAAGTTGCAGACACCCCACGCTGTGCTGATTACACGTATATCTGCACAGACCAACCAGTGGACACCTGTAAATTTCAAAGTGGACTGGACCCAATTCACAATTACATGGGCTGTAAGTAACGTGCCTCAAAAACGCAGAGATTGTTGGGATAGTAAACTTGAAACGAAACGGTTTCATGTTTTTTCAACGTTTTCAAATCATAACTGGAGCACCTTACTAACCGAGCGATTGAACGACCGACCGATCGACTGTCCGAACTACCGACGGGTGGGTGACTGGCCCGGGGGAGGTACTCCCCAAAGTTTTTGGTAGGGGTGTATGGCCTGAACTTTGAAACCCTTACCCTATTTCAATACAAAATCTGTGATTTTCCATACCCTATTTCAGACCTGAGCCAAAACTCGATACCCCATTTCAGATCTCTAAAATCAGTACACGGCTCTAATATCTGACCGCAGCTAACCAGTAATGGCTTCCATTTGCACAAACATTTGACAAGGGCTACAACTTCGCCAATGATGATGCGGAAAAAAAATTAGTTCCTTGTAGACTAAACACCCATTGACAAGCCAGAGTGAAACACATACCCTATTTCAGACCAAAATAGCTCAAAAACCATACCTTTGGGGCCGCATGCAAATACTTATATAGCCCATATAAGGGAGGAGCACCCCCAGGGGGGACAGCTAGTTAAGTGATTGCTTCCTTGCTTCAGTGCTTCTTACCTGATTCATCTATTCATTCGTTCCTTCCGGCGTCGTAGGAATGTTCATCATTCAACTTCTTTGTAGGATTATATGTATTTCATTCTTATTTACAGTCATGGAGGATGCCTGTATGTATGAATTCACACCAGGTCAGATAACTAACATGGCGCAGCACGTCAAGACCTTTAGACCTACTCTGATGAAAAACATCCACAGTGAGTAATTTTAGACTGACAGTGTCTTTCATTTCACTGAGTGTTTCGAGTAATGTATCTACAATTTTTCTTCTTTGAGGTTATTCTGCCAGTTAGGTCGCGCGATTAACTCCAAGCTTTAATATTGAGCCGTCCGAAAGCTCTCGTTCAAGTAATCTTGGGGTAACCTCCCTAAACAGAAAGCTTAGCCCATCACTGGTTAGTCCACCGTAGTCTCTCGGTTGGACGAAATCACTGTAAAAGAAGGGTATTTCCAAGAACACAAGAAAACGACTCCGACCAGGTTCGAACAGTACCAGGTCAACAAAGTCTACACGGAATCGAGAATCCCATACGTTGACCACACCCTAAGCGAATGCCTTTACATACACAACTCATTACAGGAACTACGTCACGGTTTGCGCATCTTGAAAAGTTTAGCCTAAATTTTTCAAGTTCGTCGTTTGTAATCCGTGTTAATCTTCTCCATCCCTAACCCTCCTTGTTGTTTTATGGTTTATTATTATCTCTTAAGTCTTTTTCTATCTAAGTAAATTAGTATTTTCAGGTTTCCTTCAATTAAAAAGTGATTTTGCAAGTGTCCAAATAACTCAAAATACCGTGACTGCGTTCCTTAAACCTAATCTTCATCTTCTCAATCTCAAGGACCCTGTAAAATAGACGCCGTCTTCCGCTGGTCAAACGGGTTCGTCTATTTCTTTTTGGGGTCGAATTACTACCGCTACAACGAAAGTCGTCATGTGATCGACCCAGGCTACCCTCGACCAACCAGTAGCCACTGGAAGGGTGTTCCTTCTTCAATTGACGGAGTCTTTCGATACGCCAACGGCTTCACTTACTTCTTCAAGGGAAACCAGTATTACAGGTTTAATGACACATCGCTGAGTGTCGACCCAGGCTACCCTCGGCCCATAAGTGACTACTGGGAAGGCGTTCCAAATGATATCGATGACGTCATCAGGTACAACTTTCGTTTTGTATAATACCATAGATCTTCGAAAGGAGAAGCCAGGTCGTTACTTTCTGCTTAAGAACGTTTCGGGTTCGTAACTAGACATTAAATGGTCGCAATTTATGAGAAAGTAGTCAGTACTTTTAAGACAGTCAAAATCTTGGCAAATTGTCTGGCAACATAGACTTTGCAGTATGCAATTTGTTGAAATGGAGAGCCGCGTTTGATAATAGCTACTGTAATTAGTTAAAATTAACAGAAAATGTGCTTTAACGAGTTTTATCCTTAGTGAATACCGCATACAAAATAAATTTTTGATGCGCCCAGCGTCTTTCAAGCGTTCAAATCCCTGTGTGTCCGTCATCTGATTTGAACACCTGAAACGACCATACATTCACACATACACTTTATTTAAACACGGTAGAAACATCAGTTATGTTACAAGGTTGAGACAAAAAACTGATTTACATGTTTGCCGTGTGGGAGTACGAGGAAGACATTAGGTGATTGATCTCATTTTTAAAGTTAATAAAAGATCTAATGGTTCTGACGTTAGACGGAAGGCTATTCCACACGTGCCCCACTGTAGCAGAACTGAACGTTTCAAAAAATCGGTATGGGGTTTAGGCAAAGCTAATTTGTTTTCAATATTTCCGAGTCCATAGTCCGTCCTGAAGGGTCTAAATAGACCTTTCAGGTACTCCAGAGTCTGATCATTCATAGTTTTAAACATTAATTTCAATTTTTGCTTTTTCCTTCTGATATAGAGACCGTGGAAAGGTTAGGGCTCTGGCTTCCACTGGGCTTAGAAAGTTCCTATCCTTTTAGGACCTAATAGGAAACTTAATTTTCGCATTCGCGCTAGTTTCGTTAACTCCATTCGCTTTATTATCTTGTTTTAACGGTTTCCTGTTAATTTTTATCTGCTCCCATTTCTAAAATTAGTTACTCAAATGGCTTCGCGTACTTCTTCAAAGGAACACAATACTACAGGTTCAATCCGCGTAACGAAAGTGTGGACCCCGGCTATCCGCGCTCTGTGAGCTCTTATTGGAAAGGGGTCCCAGGCGACATGGAAGGTGTTTTACCGTGGCATAATGGAGGGGTTTACGTGTTTAAGGATACCCAGAACTGGTTCTTTTTGCACAGCAGTCAATCTATTGGGGTGTCCTCCAGCTATCCCAAGTCAATCATGCAGTGGTGGAGCGATGAGCTCGAGCTAACTGGTTATACGGCTTTAAGGTATGTTTTGCTCTTGACTTTCCCAAGAAAGTGCATCAGAAGACAAGAAGTTGGTAGGCAGGCAGGCAAGCAGACAGTCAGTTAGACAGACCGCTGACAAGCAGACAGGCAGGCCGACAGACAGACAGACAGGCAGAGACAGACAGACAGGCAGGCAGGCCGACAGAGACAGACAGACAGACAGGCAGGCCGACAGACAGACAGACAGACACACAGACAGACACACAGACAGACAGGTCGGTCGGTTGGTCATAGACTGAGCAAGGTAGATAGATAAGTGGGTGGGTGGGTAGGTATGAACTGTAGGACTGAGGGAGGGTATGCAGCACACCAGACAGAGAAAAAAAGTAATATATCAAACATGAAAGGCCGTGTTTGACCACATTTTCAAACACCGAGGAACAGAGTGTAAATAAAACGCGTAGGGGAGTACTTTTGAAGTCCTTCGAGGTGTTTGTTGATGTGGTCAAACACTATCTTGAGTGTTTGACACATCTTTTTGTCAATCGAAACTAAAACTAAGGTGAAAACAGAGAAATAAAACTTTAAAATCTATCCTAATTAAGATCAGGTATCCAAACACCGTCACGGTCATGATTTCCTTTGTTTAAACTTGATGAATTATAAATGACTTTGAGACAGCCTTTAATTCATTCAAAGAAGAACAGCCTTCTCCCTTATTCCTTGCAGTTAGCAATTAGTCGTACCAAACGTGCTAGCCATTTCAACATATTCTCTCTAGGCACCTCAACGGCCAGACGTTCTTCTTCAAAGGCGACCACTATTGGCTCTTTAACGATTTCTTTCTCCAAGTCGAGGTCGGATATCCGCGCGCCTTGGCAGCCTGGGGAGGAGTCCCAGCGGATGTAGACGCAGCGTTTCTGTGGAGTGATGGATACGCGTACTTCTTTAAAGGGAAACTTTACTTCCGGTACGACAGCAGCCAGGAAAGAGTGGAGGATGGCTATCCACGTGAAATAAACTCGTTTTGGAAAGGAATACCGGATAGCGTGGATGCGGTCTTCAGGTAAAATGAATAACACGAGAATAATTTTAAGAATACTAAACACAGCAAGAACTCAACTAATTCAAAACAATCAAAACATGTCAATAAAAAAGAAACCAAACAGAAACAGAAACAGAGACCAACAACGCAGGATACCAATCAAGTTTCGTGACTTTTACAGTAAAAATGGGGGTTTTGAACTTTCGTCAGTCCTTGATTAACTGGCCGTTGTCGAGAGGTTAATGATAGGGAACATAAGTACGCGCGTTTTTGAGACGCGGACGGTAGCCGGAAGTGAGCTACTTTCACTTTTAACTTGTCCTCACACAACCATATTCACATTGCTAAGTATCTTTGCTTCATTCATGCTTCATTGCTTCATGAGTAGTATAAAACATCTTGGAGACAATACGGTCCTAGCATGCGAAATCTTCTCTTCCGATTGCCGTCTGCGTCTCAAAAACGCGCGTGCCTAAGCTCCCTATTTTGGCAGTTAGGACGCGCTTGGTGGCCGTTGCCGTTGTAAAGAGGTAGCCGCTGTAGGGAGGTTCAAATAAGAGTGAATGTATGGACCACCCGCCACGACAAAAAAGCCGTTATTGTAGAGGTGGCCGTTGGTGGAGGTTCGACCTTACTTTATTATCACCTCCCCAGTGAGGCTTTTCAGGAACAACAAAACTTCCCTCAAGCGATTAGCTCAGAAAGAAAACAAGGGTAGTACCAGTTAACCTCAGGCGATTCGCTTAAACACGAGTTAAGTGCTTTACCTCGTTCTAGCGAAATTAAAGTGAAGTTCGGTGATAGTAATCCGTTGTACCTCGTTCTAGCGAAATTAAAGTGAAGTTCGGTGATAGTAATCCGTTGTGATCGGCAAAAAGACTGCTGTCGCGTTGAAAGTTGCCACATCCGTCGGCTTACCACAGGCTAGAAGCTTGAGGCCGAATTTCCCTATTCGAGCCACTTGGTTCGGATTCAGTTTCGTTTTCGTCAAAGGGAACAAGTGTACCTCAGTTACAAATCAAAAGATAAGCGCTTTCATTCTCATTTATTTCAGATACATCGACGGTATCACTTATTTCTTCAAAGGCTCGGATTACTATCGCTTCAACGACGCAACCCGGGCAGTGGACCTAGGCTACCCGCGGTCGATAGCCTCGTTTTGGAAGGGCGTTCCAGATAACCTCGATACGGTGCTTTCAGCGAGCAATGGTCACACGTACTTCTTCAAGGACAACCTCTTTTATCGCTTTAACAACACAGCAGAGCAGGTCGACATTGGGTACCCTAAATCAATAGCCTTGTGGAGGGGAATACTTTACCAGCCTTAATTAACAAGAAAATAAATCGTTTGAATGAACCATTAAATACGAGAATAAAAACAAGACGCTTATGTTCTTTCTTTGTCTCTGCTCTTCCCGACAAAATTCTGTTCTCGTGACGTAGACATGGATTCTGATTGGTTGTAGATTACGTCATCGGAAATTTCTGACCGTCGAATTAGCGACTTCTCTCTCGCTAACAGTCAAGAGAGCAAAGTTCCGGTTTAAATTTCCGGACATTTCCAGATGCGAATGGAACAGCATTTTCCAGAATTTCCGGAAAAGAAGACAACCTTGCAAGGGAATTTCCGTTCCATTTGACATTTGAATGGTTCGCTTTTCGGAAATTCAACAATTTCCGGATTTTCTGGAAGCATTTCCAGAAAATTTGTGCACTATTTGTCCCTGTTTCGAAACTTTCGGAAATTTTGAGTGAAGCTACGGTATGTTATGATAATTTTTCCAAGTCATTTCTCGGGAGTACAATTTTTGAAGGTAAAAAAGCAACAAAGAAGTAGTATTAAACCAAAAATTAGTTTAAAATTACAATTGAAGAAAATTAAAACAGACTGCAAACGACAGACGTTTCATTAAATGATCAATTTTTTTTCAAGGTGCTCCTTTCACAGGTACATACATTTGCACAACCACTCATAAACTTGCTTTAGAAAAAAAGACGTCGTACAAATATTCAAAAATGCGGCTTTGAAACCAACCGATACCTTTGGCTCTATGAAATACAAACAGATACTGCAACAGTTTAAATATTAGCACACTTGAAGTCGCAAATGATTGAACACCTATCTAAAAATAAGGACATAACGAAGGAATAATTACGTTATACGCGCTAACTGTAAAAGGACATCACTTCATGTACTTGTCCTCGTGTTCAGCCAAAAGCTTCGCTGAAGACTTGGCGTCGTAAAACAACTCGTTTATTTCCTCCACATCTTGTCTGTTGATGTTCTCACGGCCTAAGGAGCACACAAAATGAAACATTTATGAAACAGGTAAGCGTGCAAAGCCACTGAGTTATTAGTCGAGTCAAAGCGTAGCAGATTCCAACGATTTGGCTTCAAAAAAGGGCGCTGGATTAAGGGAAGGGAAGAGGGTATGTAGGTTGGGAGGGAAGCAGGACGGAGGGAGAGAAGAGAGAAGAAGGGGACAGGGAGGGGGAGGGAGGATGGGTGGCCAGGAAGGCCCTTGTTAAGGAGAGCGGGAGGCATGGGTGTATTTAGAGCTTTTAAGATAAAACTCTTGGATGACACTGTTGAACGGTAATATACTATTACAGTGGAACCCTATTTATACGGTCACCAACGGACCATAAAAATCTGGCCGTATCAATGGGGTGGCCTTACTAAAGGGGTTCTTTAAAGAAGAAAATGACTGACTGAGGTTTTGAATGGGCACGTCAATACAGTGGCCGTCATAATGAAGTGGCCGTAAGGCGGGGATGCCCCCCCCCCCTCCAGGGGGGTATGCTCTGTAAGTGCATGAACTTACCGTTGATCCGGGCGAGAAGATTTGAGGGGGTCAATAACTGAACTGCATACCTAACGGACAAAAAAATTTCGTTAGGTGTACTGTGTAGAAAAAAACTGCTGTGGGGATAATGAGAAACCATGAGAATCGGAAAAGAATTTACTACGTTAAAACCTCAGGAACAACAACTTGAAAGGAGACAACAGTGGAAAAACATGTAAGAAGAGTAAAGCAGTAGGATATCTACTGATGTTTTGAATTTTTATATATCTATTGTTGACAGACGAGGGCGAACTCCCAGCATTAATTTGCCATTACCCCACGGGAACTACCTGAATTATATTTCAAATCGAAGAAAAACATCGAAATGATATATATTAAATAACACAGATACATCTCAGATAGAAAACACCAAAGAGGGTATTCCCGAGAACAAAAAAAGTTACCGGCCAATTTTTTAAAGTATTTACATGTTATTTCCTCATTCTTCAATCTGACCGTCAAGGTCGCTAATACCTCCAAAGCATTTCGTCTTTTTATCACACAAGCTACGCTTCGCGCAGCCTCAATAAGTGCATCTGTACCATTCTTGCCGCAAACTGAGTTACTCTTCTGAAGAGAATCTTACCTTAAGGTAGTTTTTGTTCCAATTTCTCCTAACAGGCTCAGGGATTCGTCGTCTGTTTGGATGTTCTCTGTCTGAGCCCGGATGCGCACAATTTGCACCATTTCATCTTGCGAGTAGGGTAGTGTGCGGATGATCATAAGTCGGTCTAACAGATCCAGGGGGATCCCATGAGGAGCATTAAGTTCGGTGCCTCTGTAAAGGGCATGCGCATATCAGAAAACAGACTCGTGACCAGTTGCTTTTTTTTTTTTTTGCGCGGCGATTTTCAGACGAGATTGAATACTTGACATTTTTTTTTTCAGCCGTGGTGTGCGATAGTGATGAGAGCTAGTAAGAGCAAGAGGAAGGTGAAGAAATTTCCAACCAATGTTACATACAGTGATTCCTCTGTGTGTATTATACCACAAGGAAATCTCCGCATGTAAGTGTATGATATCGAGGGTATAACTGTGTATTTATATATGTGTATACCCTCTAAATTGTTCTTAACATGTATACTAACATGTATGTACTTGTATGTACAACTCATAAGACTTTCAAAGCAGATGTTCTGTTTCATTTCAAGATGTCGAGCTTTCATCTCCCTGTTTTTCGCGCACTATGAATGGGCTGGTTGAAATACTGTAAAGCCAACTGAATGTGCTACACAATAACGTTCACATGTACATTGTCTTCACACTACTGCCACTAAAATGTTCCTCAATACAATTAAAAACAACTGCTTGTGTAATTCACAATTAATGATCACCTACACGTAGGATGTTTTGAAAGTGGAAAGGTTGAGATTTTTAGAACTCACAATCTCACTCGTGTTCATGTGATTTTCTAATAAAACTAAAATTTGCTTTACAAACAAGTACAAACCTTATGGTACAGTTTCCTCGATTCGTCGCAAATATCACAATAGGGGAGATGGTGGACTCTAGCGCACGATGTAAATATGTAAAGCACTCGATATCCAACATATGGACCTGAAAAAAGATATCACAAAAATTAAGAAAAATGTTCTCATCCACGGTATTTTCAATTATTTTGGCCACGTACATATCTATCTTTAAATTGAAGGAAACCTGAAAATAATAGTTTACTAAGATAGTAAAACACCAAAGAAATAATATTAACCATAAAGAAACAAGGATGGTTAAGGATGGAGAAGATTGACACGGATTACAAACGACGAACTTGAAAAATTTAGGCTAAACTTTTCAGGATGCGTAAATCGTGACGTAGCTCCTTTAAGCAACACCTTGGTAGTTAACTCTAACAGTGCTCAGTAATATGGTGGTCACACAATGCCTCTATAGGAAAATGATTGCGTGACAAATTAAACTCCTACACAAGGTAGAATTAAACAAAATGAATTGCGTTACAGTTTACCTCGTCAACGAACAACACTCCTGGGACAAGTTCTGCCACCCCTTGATCTATGTATTTATTAACCACCTTGAAAATAAATTAACCAAAGCAAAACAGACAAGTAATATTACTAATAAATATTAAATATCCTTATTTTCATAATACTAAAAAACTAAAGACAATAAAAGAATTAGCATTTCTGTCTGGAATAAGTAGACGTTAAAATTAATAGTAGAACTCAGTTGTTTTGAATGAACTACACAAATGGGCTGTTAGGTTTTCGAGGTAGCCTCCAGACTTGTCATGTCCATTTGCAAGACAAGAGAGAGAACTTAAGGAAGAATTTAGATATCAATTCATGAAAGGGGCAATGCAGAATTTATTGTCAATATCATTACTTTTCCTTGCTCACCTTGTTTATCTCTTTTCTTAGTTTGTCTGAAATAAAAGAAAAAAATTGTTATCAGTAATAAAATTATACTTAAGAAACAGAAAACGTGTTCCAAGTTTCTCTCGAGTTATAGAAACACGAAGTTTTTGGAAGTTTGGGAGAACGATAAATGCTGCCAGTGGGAACATGAACCGACAGGCGAGTGTTTCCTCATCTTTTTCGAGTTCTCCCAGTACTTCTATAACTCGATAGAAACACAGAGAAAATGTTTTATATTTCATTTAGAAAACAACGCAACGAAAAAAGAAGAAAACTTGTTTACTTTGATCATCAAAATGTAAATTCTCTTTGCTCACGCCATCATTACGTCAACAGCTTGCGTGACACATAGTTTTGTGTTTTAATTGAGTTATACATGTACATGTAGATTCAAACACAATTTCTAACCAGTCAGTGCAAATATTTTCTTTGGGCTGTTTACTAAATACAAATAAATACTTCAGAAACATGCCACAAAATATGACACTGCATTTTCTATAAGGTAAGGGTAAAGTCTGCATACATTGTACGAGCTAAGTGGCTCATCAGGCCGGAGCTTATCCCGGTTTCAGTGGCATGAAGCAACTAGGAGAATTTCTCCTTCCCCCTGGATGGGATGCCAGTACATCACAGGGTTATCCCCCAGCATTAAATTTGCCGGTACTCATTTATACACCTGGGTGGAGAGAGGCACTAACCTAAAGGTCTGTGTGCATACTGAGAAAGTACCTTGTGCCTTGTGGAATATTCCATGATACACTACTCTACAGTCTGCATTGTACTCCTACCATTTTAGGGGGAAACAGTGGTCTCACGGTCAGTGCACTCAACTCCAGATCAAGCAGTCCGGGTTCAAGCCCTGGCTGGGGACATTGTGTTGTGTTCTTGGGCAAGACACTTTACTCTCACAATGCCTCTCGCCACCCAGGTGTATAAATAGGTACTGGGGAATTTAATGCTGGGGGTAACCCCACGATGGACTAACATCACATCCAGGGGGGAGTAGAAATACTTCCAGTCGCTTCATGCTACAGAAACCGAGATAAGCTTTCGCCTGATGGGCCACTTTTCTCGTATGCAGACTTTAATTTAATCCTACCATTTTACCAAGGAGAGAGGCCGTGCAAGAGATTATCAGGACACAGGTTACTATTGAATTTGAACCTCACCTGTAATTTCTGTCTTTTTTGGCTTCATTAGTTGTCCCATCATGGATAGAATGTCCTGCCCTCCCTGGAACAAATAAAAAAAATGAAGAAATAATACTTTGGTGGCAGAGAAAATTAACATGTACGTGAATCTCCACTCTGGGCTTGTCACCTTGTTGTGGTGGCAGAGCTTGCGTGTCTCAATGACCCCAAGAACTCTGCCAGTGGTGGTGAAGTCCCTGGATTGTTCAACTGTGCCAGATTGGTTGAGGGATAGAGCCCTGACAAAGAACAGTCCCTTGTCCCCCTGGCTGGGGGTTGGGCATTGGGCTAATCACCTGACCCTGTAAACATTGTGGGATTACAGAAACATTAAGGCTTTATGCACCACTCTGGTGCCACAAGGTAGGTGAAGGTGACACAAAAAAATTAGAATAAAGCTACATGATTGCAGTGCAACTGCTTGCATTGAAATCAATGACATGATAAAGCACCACAGCACAGGATTAGAAACTTAACTCTGAGCACAGGATAGAAAACTGAGCTTTCATTTTTAAATTAGTTTTCAGACATGAAAAGGCAACAACAACAACAAAAATGAAAAAAAAGGAAGAAAAAGAAATGAAAGCAAGCAACTCAATCATTCCGTATGCTTCACTTGCTTGTTTCCAATTATTTTACATGTTGTTATTACCTTTCTTGTTTGTATCTGGCTTCCAAATTGAGATTGATCAATGGTGACATTGACACAGTGGCTGAGCTATCATTTTGTTTTGAGTAACCTGTTACATGTTGCTTGATCTTCACATCTGTAACAAGCTTGCTGCTTTGTGATGAACAACAAGGTCAAGCAGCAATTTCACCCACAACATAGAGGAACCATCACGCATGCTCAGCCATAAGAGGCATTACAGGTTACAGCCCTTAAAGGAGCTCAGTCACAATTTTTTTTTCAGTTATTTTGGCCAATACAAAGTCACCTTTAAATTGAAGAAAGTCTAAAAATAGTAGTTTACTGGGATAGAAAAACACCAAAGAGACAATAATAAACCACAAAGGAACAGGGATAATTAAGGATGGAGAAGATTGACACAGAGTACAAACAACAAGCTTAACAAATTTATCCTATACATTTCCACTAGATGCGAAAGCCATGACTTAGCTCCTTTAGTGGCAGCCATGTGTAGTAGCCAGGTTACAGCTTTAAATTGATAAGTCCCCTTTCAAAATCTTTCTATCCATTCCCACCTTACCTGTGGTCTTGCATTTGCCACGTCCAGATCGTGCAGCGTCACATCCTGGACTATTTCTTTCTTCTTGTGCACATCACCTTTGGGTAATGGCACATATTCCTCAGCCTCAAGATCAAATTCTGTGGCAAAAGTGTCTGATCGGCCTTGACGCTGAGACAAAACAAACCAGTGTAAATTAAACCACAGATATCAAAGACGGTAAGTAAGTACGGTCATCAATAAGTACGGTCACCAATCTTTACTTTTCTTTAATCTTACGATCCTCGATTGAAAGTGGCACTACTCTAGTAGAGAATCTGTGTGCAGGTTGCATTTGGTGTACACTAATAATGCACCACAGCGTATTTACATGTGCCATGCTGTAGATGGCAAAACATTGGAAAATACTGTAAGTGGAACCAGTTAGACTGTACTTCTAAGAAAGTTGATCACACCTTGACTGCACCACTGTTTGCCTCAATGTAAATCACATCACCAACTTCCACTTTTTCCTTCTGAAGGCTTTCATATATTGAAGGATCCAGCTGTACTCAACAAAACAAATGATATACATGTAGTTGAGAGAAAATACCAGCATTAGCACATATACATCAATTTCAACTTTTCACTAAGTTTGCAGAACAGAAGACAATATTTTTTTTATTTTCCCTGGCCATGGTAGTAGGTACATGTAGACACCATAAGTTACATGTACAGTGTAGATCATATGAAAAGTACATGTAGTTAGTTAATATTTTAAATTTGCTTTAATACTTTAGGCATCTTGAAACAACTCTCACTGAAAGTAAATCACTTGTTCATTATCCATGTAACATTTACCATCAAAATCTGCAGCAACTATAAATTAAAATAATAATATTCCCTAACCTATCCCCGACTTCAGCACAGCAATTTGGAACTGCCCCAAACAGATACTAAATTCTCTGACCTTGAAAATAATTCTCTAATTTTCCTGACCTGTGAAAACCAGACTGCTGGTTTTATTGAACTATAAACATTGTAAACATCACGAAAGGAAAGAAATAGTCAAAAAGAGCAGTGTGTTACTGTACATGGAAGACACTAATCTTTAGTCCATGACAAGTCATGATAATGATAATAATGACAAGTGAGAAAATACTGATAACATTGAAATACACGCAAACCCGTTGACATGCTTCCTCCATATTGCGCTTCCACACAAAAAAGGTATGTGTAGATTAATAAGAATGTCAGTAGAAAATACAAAATGTCATGTGCTCAATAAACATATTCCTGCCCAGTGACTTTAAATTATATAACTTGCCTTCAGTTGCTTGGTTCCTTTTGCAGTTTTCAAACCGATAACCACATGGCTAACAGTTTTACCATACCCTGAAATACAAATTAGACATTGGTGTACATCGAAACGTACACAATAACATTATGACTGTACACTAACAGTGATACATACGTTTATCCCACACCATAGAAGATACAGCAAATCAGAATTCCAAAAATGTTAAAAACTATGTTCTATCTCAGAAATATCAAACATAAGTTTCCACAATTCTTCTAGCTCTTTCCTTTAGTACTCCATCCTTCTACTCCCATGTTTTTTTTACGTTCACTCAAACAAGATGGAGGCTAACTCGTTAACCTAATGGTTCTATTAGCCTCCATGCACAAACTATATACCATTGTCACCTTAAATTGTTATATATGTATCTTTTTTTTATGCTAATAATTGTAATTTCAAAATGTAAGTGCAAAATAAAGTGAAGTTAAAGTTGAAGTTGAAGTTGAGGAGGCCATCTTGTATTTGACGGTTTTATACCCAACCTTCCCATTGTGCGCCACACGTATTTTACCTTGACTTTGTTGGCCACTGTATTTTCTATGGCATGGAATAAAATAGTTACATGTGTGCAACAATCTCTCATGGTATACCTTTAGGTGGGTGTGTATATCAAGAAAATGCAAGTGACTCGTGGGATATATAAACAATAGCCTCCATTTGGCACGAAAATATGCTCAGATATTTGTCCACAGACATTATCTGCTCCCAGAAGCGAAAAGTTTTCCGAGAGTGTAGCTCCAGGAAAACTGTGAGCTTTGAGGAACAGATAATATCCAAGGACAAATATCCGAGCATATTTTCAAAGTCAAATGGAGGCTATTGTGTTTATTATCCT